CCTGAGTGGTCCCAGGACCATCCTGTCCATCCCACAAAGCCTCCAGGAGTGTGGGAAGCTGGAGAAGATGGGAGGTGTCAGGGCTTTACCTCTGTGTTGACCTTGTCCACGGGTTCGATGCCTGCGTACTGTGAAAAGAGGAAAACGCGATTAGATAACGGCAGCCTGGCAGGGGAATATCCGCAGGCTGCTGGATCTGGGGCACAGGAGAGGCAAGGGAAGGCAGCACGTGCAGCTAAACCCTCCCTGGGGTTGGGGGAACATCCCAGACCAGGATTCCCCACAGGAGAAAGCTGCTGCTCCTCTCCAGTCCCACCCAGTGCTGGCAGCTCTGAACAGCAGGTGCTGCCTGGCTGTGACGGTGCCACCACCACCAGAGCTGAGCAGCCGGATCAGTCAGGAGCAGCCACCTCCAGCCCCAGAGCCACCACTCTCCCCCAGGCTCAAGCCCCCACAAGCACTTGGGCACAAGCAGGAAGAGCATGTTCACCTTTCCATCCTCCTTCACCCTCCTCCTCCGCTCCTCGAAGGGGCTGGAATGGGATGAGTCAGGGGTGAGGGTCTCTGCACTGCCCTGGGAGGAACTGGTCACCCTCAGCGGGGTGAAGGACGAGATCAGCCCCAGGATCCCCGGCTGGTGGGAGGCAGGAGAGGAGGCAGGAGACTCGGACACGGAGTAGTGGCCACTGGCACCTGAGGCAGCTGTGAGAGAAAGAGCATTGGGGGGGTGACCTCGGTTCCACTCCCAGGGGGTGGAGACCCACAGGAGTGTCAGCCCCTGCCCCAAACCTGCCTCCAGAGCAGGTCCAGCAGGTTTGGTCACAGCCTGGACCCCATGCCTGGGGCCCAGTCTAGGACTGCAGGAACAAGGGGTAAAATGCATTAGCTGGGCTCTTTCAGCCCTGTTTGCTGCTGTAANGGGTGGGTTCGAGCAGCTCCCCTGCCCTGCTCTGAGCTGGGAGGGGTCACTCAGCAGGGCCCCAACTGCTCCCTAATTAATATAATATATATAATATAGCTATTTATAATTAGCATTGTGTAATTTATATATATACATATAATATTTATAATATATATTTATATAATAGCTATTTCAAATAATATTATTAATATAAAACATAATATAGTTATTTATAATTAGTTTTGTGTAATTTATATATATTATATATTTATAATATGTATTTATATAATAGACTTATTCATAATAATATTATTAATATAATATATAATATAGCTATTTATAATTAGTTATTTGTAATTTGTATATAATATATATTTATAATGTATATTTATATAATAGAGATATTTATAATATTATTAACATAATATACATAATATAGTTATTTATAATTCGTTATTTATAATTTTATCTATATTACCTATTTATAATATATATTTATACAATATATTTAATTATAATAATATTATTAATATAATATATATAATAGTTATTTATAATTAGTTATTTGTAATTTTTATATATAATATCTCTTCATAATATATATTTATATAATAGAGATTTTTATAATAATATTATTAATGTAATATATAATATAGTTCTTTACAATGACTTATTTATAAATTTAATATATATTTATAATGTATATTTATATAATATAATTATTTATAATAATATTATTAATATAATATATAATATGGTTCTTTACCATTAGTTTTTTATAAATTTAATATATATTTATAATCTACATTTATATAATAGAGATATTTATAATAATATTATTAATATAATATATAATATGGTTCTTTACCATTAGTTTTTTATAAATTTAATATATATTTATAATGTATATTTATATAATAGAGTTATTTATAATAATATAATAATATAATAGATATAATATAGTGCTCATGCCGGGCATGGCTGGAGAGCAGCATCCTCAGCCCTTCCTGGGGAAGGAATCATCACTCATTTCCCTCACTTGGGGCTCGTTAAGGCGCTGCTTCATTAATTAAACCTCCCAGCTGCCTGTTGCTTGCTCTGTCCCCGTTTCAAGCTGTGACACCCCAAGAAGAGCCCCATGGGCCATTCTGAGCCCGATGTGTGGCTGAGCGCCTGCCCAGCTCTCCTGCACCTCCTCCTGCCCGTGTCCGCCCTGTGTGATGCTGGAGATGCCCTGGGGCCAGGGAGGGACTCACCGCGATGGCCTGCAGCCTCTCCTGCTGAAGGGTGCTGGCCTCCACGACCCTGCGGAGAGAGCAGAGAGCAGCTGTGAGCGGGGACAGCAGTGGAGGTCACTGGGACAGCTGTGACACTGCCACTGTGGGACACTGACCAAGGCTGAGCCCTTCCCTTTGACCATCTGCTTCCTCCTNGCCCTGCCTCTCCCAGGGGCTGTGGGTGCCAGGTTGGGGCTCAGCACAGTGACTCCAATGGCGACAAATCTGCAGCCTGGGTGGCACCTGGAGGGCACCAGGGGTGGCGTGGGGACAGGGGGTGGCACTGCTCACACAGGGGGAGTGTGGGGGAAGGAAAGGCCCATCCTTGGGGGAGCTGAGCCCCATCCTTGGCTGCTGGACCAGCAGTGTCCTGGTGGGCTGGGCAGCTTGGATTCTGCCCCACACACATTTTGGGCGACCCCCATGGCAGAAGGAACCCTCTCACTCTTGGAAAAGGATCCCTCACCCTGCCCAAAGCTCCTGGGGAGCTCATGGGCAGCTGATGTGGACACTGGGGACCATGGGGGGCTCCCCCTGCCTGCCCCAGCTGGTCTCAGTGGGGAGGAAACGCTGGTGCTGGTGGTGGAATCCCCACTGAAGGGCTGGGGTGCAGGGTCAGGCTGCCCCTCTGTGGGACACCACACCCCTGGCAGCTCCCAGTGCCCGAATTTGGGGTGAGCTGGGCTGCCCCCCACCCTGGGGACCCCAAAGCTGCAGCCCAGGAGCCCAGAACGTGGCAGAGACAAGAAGGGAACAGGATGCTGGGCCACACTGCTGCTGCCACGAGGAACCACAGGACCCCCAGCCCATTCCTGCCCCACAGGGCTGAGCCCCCCAAGTTGCCCCTCACTCGCTGGCACTGCCCCAGGGGGACACGGGTACAATTCAGCCCCCTCAGCTGGCACAGTGAGGGCTCCAGGATGTGCCGGGAGGAGCAGGGCAGGCCTGGACTGACCCTGCAGGAGCCCCAGGCCATCAGCACAGCCCAGTGCCAGCGAGGGATGGATGATGCCCTCCATGCCCTTCCCTCACTGGCACTGCCTATGGTGGGACATGGGCACAGTTCAGCCCCCTCAGCTGGCACAGTGAGGGCTCCAAGATGTGGAGATGAGCCCAGGAGGAGATGGGGACAGGCTGGGCTGAGCCTGCAGGAGCCCCAGGTGGCCCTGACCGAGTACCAGCGAGGGATGGATGCTGCCCTCAATGCCCTTCCCTCACTGGCATTGCCCCAGGGGGGCATGGGCACAGTTCAGCCCCCTCAGCTGGCACAGTGAGGGCTCCAAGCTGAGCCCAGGAGGAGCAGAGCAGGCCCTGCAGGTGCCCCAGGTGGCTCTGGCCATCAGCACAGCCCA